CTCTTGCATAATGTATGTTTAAAATACACTTAAATTTATAGTTTTTATGTGTAAAACATTTAAAAATATCTACAACAAAAATAAATATGCTTAATTTTGATTTGAAAACTCTGTATTACTGACATACGCACTCAATATCAGAACACAGACATATAAATCATAATCAGTACTTGATCAATCAATTTTATTATTTTCTAATATTTCAATCTTTTTAATATGGTACCATGGCGCACGTGGACCACACATTAGGCATGTGTTGCAGAAATAAAAGAGAACCTGCACGAGTGAGTACAAAAGCAGAAACACAAAACAATACAATAAAAGTCATTATGGTCAGCTGAAGATCAATAAATTTTAGTCTTTTCCAATATCCATTTTCGTACCTTAACACACGTGTGTGTACTATTTACTGGGAATTTACGTGAGTTCAAGAATAGCAGTCGAAAACAAGGGAGAGAATAGAATGTATTATATATTGACGAGCCAATCAATATCTTCACACTGTGTGACATCACTAAAATAATAAGCTTCATTAAACGCAGAGTTAAAAAGCTTTGTTTCGTTCCTCTTTGAAACATCGCGTAATTAGCGATAAAAAACCTTTCATATTGTATTATTGACTTACATGCTCACAAGATGTACGTCAATGCTTTTACGAGTTTTATTAATGTTAATTTATTTTCTTTCTCGTATTGATGAGATTTTTAAAACGGATGCTACATCAGTTCATGCACTGGTTCGCGTATAACAACCGTTATTCTTGACTCTCTCTTTGTTTCGATCCAGCTGTTATTTTTGTTCTCATCTTTCTCGTAACATATCCAATAATAACATTTGACTTTCACCCGCATTAAGTGGGTGGGGCATGTTTTTAAAAATATAACTATCAATTTGCACTAAGTTTACATCTTAAAACAGCAGTATCGTTATTGATTGATAAAAACATGCAGACTTTGCATTGAAATGAAATGAAATGGGGGTTTAACGTCCTACTGTTCTGCTCCGGGTATACGCTATACAGTGTGCTATGAGGGAAATTTTGCCCGGGCAGTGGCACAATTGCCTACTCTTATATCGAATTCCAACTGCCAAGGGATCTTTTATGTGCATTCCAATGTACACACTGGACCTCGGTTTTTGTATCATCCGAAGGACTAGATAGCTGTCCTTGTCAGGCCCTCCGTTCTGCACCACTGACAAGGGGAAACTCGGTCGGCAAATCCAGATGAACTTTCTCGGCCAATGCAGGGATCGAACACCCGACCTCCAGGCTACCGAGCCAGCATCTTAACCACCTAGCCACCGTGGCTCCCTCTTTGCATTGAACTCAACATCACAAAGCTCTTCGCATTGAAATCAATATCACAAAGTTCTTCACATTGAACTCAATATCACAAAGCTCTTCGCATTGAACTCGATATCACAAAGCTCTTCGCATTGAACTCAATATCACAAAGCTCTTCGCAATATCACAAAGCTCTTCATTTATTAAATTTAACATTTTAAACATACATTATGCGAGAGCTAAATCTGCCTATTGCAGGTCTTTCGTTAGGCCTCAAATGTTATATAGACTATTAATTAGACATTAATTAACTTATCCAGGCCATAACCAATTCTCGTGGCATCGGATTTCTTCGATATTAAACAGATTAGAACAGTTCAGCCATATTTTGATTTAAGCTAAAAATGGAGGAGCGAGACTTAGCTTCGAGCAACCAGTACTGTGGTTGAAATTATTGCACACGTCTTGTCAAACCTTCAAAGGCTAATATCTTCGCTCGCAATAGAGTAAATTGAATGAAATTTTCAAATTATTAATTTTACCTTATCTATTTTCGAACTATTATAGCAAGAATGGCTAGCTCTTTATCTAAATCTTACATAATGTATCTTTAAAATTCTAATTCCAAAATTGTTTGGCAACCAATTGTACAGTAAAAATCGCTACTGAGAGAGATGATCAATGTGTGTTGTTTTTTTTAAAAATAATGCAAGAACTGAAGGTAAAACTGTTAGAAATTTTAAATCAATATACAAATTAAACAATCAGTCTGTCAACAATCAATTTGTATTAAATGATGATTCCAACGTTACTGCTTAAAGAAGTACCAGGCTGTTAGCACTTCTTGTTTTTTATTTCTGAAGTCAATACATCAAATAATTTGCATTGTATATACATTTCTTTTTAATTTCCAGTGGGTTGGATGGCCGAATGGTTAGCGTGTGCGCGCTGTATCATAAAGTCTGTCATTGAGTCAACTGGTGTGGTTTCGATTCCCCGGTTGTACATGACAAGGAGTAGGGTTGTCTGTCCAAACTCGTAGGTTTTCTCCGGGTCCTCCAGTTTCCTCCCACTGCTAAAGACCCCTACACACAAGCGAATTATTGATATAAAATTTAACCATGTTAGTCCCGAAATGATTTAATTTGTGTGGGGTGGTTAAATCCCATTTCTCCTTCTCTCTCCCTTTTTATTTTCTTCTCAAAAGTGATAATAAATCTTTCAACACCCTATAAGCACGTTTGTGGATTTGGCATTATATAAATGGACATATTATTATCATTATTATTAACTGAATAAAATAAGTAGATAGGTAGCCCCTTAAACCAGTGAAGATAGACAAACTCCTGCAAATAAATTTAGCTTATCAACCTACTAGGAGTTCGTCTATCTTCACTGGTATTAGGGGCTACCTATCTACTTATTTCGTCGCCTCAGTGAACCCCTTGCGCATCACTGAGATCCCAGTTTAGATGTCCTCCTGTTACTAGCCTCCAGCTAGTTTGGACCACTGTACGAGGGTTGTTGTCGCCTTCTACCACTATTTTTAACAGAATAAAATGTGTTTTTTGTCTTAGCTACACAATGGTTTAGTCATTTTGAGACTAACATAATGTAATTCACAATTCCATTTGACTCTTTTTTTTGATTTCCAACCGTCAAGGTTTTTTGGGGGGTTTTTCAAGGTGCAAGCTAGAGTGCACAAGTTCAAGTGATTAGACACTTTCTATGCCAGTGCTGCGCTGGAGATTCTAGCTAAGAGGCCAATGAAAAAATGAAACGGGGTTTAACGTCCTACTGTTCTGCTCCTACTGGGCTAATGAAGACGGGCATACAGCATGTACAGTGTGCTATGAAGGAATTTTGCCCGGGCAGAGGCACTACGGCCTACTAGTGATCTTTTACGTCCACATCAATGTATACATGGGATATCGGTTTTTTGTTTTATCTGAACGACTAGACAGCTGTCCTTGTCAGTCCCTTCGTCCAGCACCACTGACAAGAGGCCAAGGATTGGCTCGAAGCACTATGGCCTACTCTTATATCGAATTGTAACTGCCAAGGGATCTTTTATGTCCACACCAATGTATACATGGGACCTCGGTTTTTTGCTCCATCCGAACGACTAGACAGCTGTTCTTGTCAGGCCTTTCGTCCTGCACCAATGATCATTGGCTCAATTGCCATAGTCCCCTTAAATCTTTCAACGTCCTAAATTTATCCAATTAGATTCACTTTATTCTAAACCTCATTAGTAAATAGTTCATCTACCTATCGTAAACTTATACGGAAATGATAAATGCAGACGACAAATGCAGAGATGGAAATGGGTTTTGATTAATTAGCTCATAAGAAACGCAAGTCACACACAATCTTGTGTCTCTGGAGGAAAGAAACATTAGTGGAATAACAAACGAGGATAGAAGTAATCTATTATCGTAAAAACTCTGTAAACTAGGTGGTGTGTTGTCGTTGAACAAAGAACTGACAAAGAAGAAGAAGACTCTAGATCAATACTATTTCAATATTTGATGAAAAGTTTCAACACAGTTACTTCCCTTTAATAGCCCCAGAATATTCAGATGTTTGTGCACAGTTTTTGACAAATTACTCTACTGCTGTGGCAATCGGTGAAAATTTACGGTCAAAATATACTACACCCCCTCCCTAAATGATTGAATTACAATTTAAATTTTTTTTTACAGATGAGCAATAATAAATTCTTCTTTACAACAAAAAAAAAAGGAAAAAAAGGTTACACAGTTACAATGTCAAGGGAAATAACTACATATTAGAAGTGTTCAGTTATAAGTCAATTCACGCACATCAGGAAAGTAAATACATTGGTATAACATCTGAGCACAAGTCATGGTTTGTATCAGTAGCCTTTTTCACTAAAACTTACACTAAAATACTTCAATAATTCAGTCCGTTCATTGAACACCAGCTGACACTTGTACTAAGATGTTAACTGAAACTGCTGCCTTGCTAAAATACTTCAGTTTAAAGTTTCATGAATTAAACCCCAGGATGTTTGTGTGTATTTTAAGTGTCTTGTGAGCATTCTCTATATTTGGGAGATTGGGTGAATACTGTTAATAAGTGTTAAAATACAAAGTTTGTATTATTCTACATCACTGTATAAAATAAATATACATTCTATAAATGAATATCATGTTTGTGTATATTCTATGAGTTTATATTGTATATTTGGGAATATATAAGTATATTCTATGTTTGTGTATATTCTAAAAGTGTATATTGAATATGATATATGTATATCACATACATGTATATTCTATGTTTGTGTATATTCTATGAGTGTATATTGTATATTAGGGCATATATGTATATATCATATATATGTATATTCTATGAGTGTAATACATATTCTATATGTGTGTGTATATTACGGTATTCTATATTTCATGTTCGGGTATGTGTATGGTATACATGATTTTTTTTGTATATTCTGTGAGTGTATATTCCATATATAACAATGAACTATAACACATACTTATGGAAGAACAATTACTGATTTATTTAGGCCACGTTTCAAAGAGTATTCTTTCAACATTTTGCTTGAAAATGTTGAGAGAATACTCTTCGAAACATTGCATAAATAAATCAGTAACTGTTCTTCCATAAGTATGTGTTAATAGTTTATTGCTCTATCCAGTTACTGAATGCCTCTAAAAGATTATATATAACTAACCTGATGTTCTTTAAGTTTAGTCTCTATGGTTTCTGCCGTCCAATCAGGTTTCACAGTTAATGGTAGCAGGCGCTGTTCTATCGTATTCAATGACTGTCTCAAACTATTCAGATCACTTTCCAAATCTGCACAAATAGAATAGGTTATAGGTGAAAATCAGTACAAAATAATGATGTTTAACAATTAAGCATAAATTAAAGATGCATTATGTAAGAGCTAAATCTGTCTATTGTAGGGGTTTTTATTTTTGGCTTCAAATGTTATATAAATTGTTATTTAGACATTTATTAACATGATAAGCCTATAATCAACCCTCTAGCTCATTATATGGATGAGATAAAATAGATAATCGAGACTTAGTCTCAGTTGTCAAGTACTGTTGCTACAAAAACAAATGATCTATGCTCTATCTTCAAACAGTCATAACTTCACTCAGAATAAAGAAATATGAATGATATTTTCAATATACTCATTTTCCATTATCTATTTTTGAACTATTATAGCAAGAACGGAAATCTCTTTATCTAAATCTTACATAATGCATCTTTAAGCTAAATAAAAAAAAAAAGTAAAACAAATTGAAAGAAATTGATTTCATAAAGAAAATGAATGACAATGGTGGAAGAAGGATGAATTAATGAGGACAAAAAATTATGAATGGAATAATAATTGATGTATGGATGTTACAATTACATGAATGAAGCTGGTTTAAAACTTTACTGTATAAAATGATACTGGGTATGAATGAATTATGAATGGAATAATTATGGATGTACTGATGTTACAATAATATGAATAATGCAAAGAAGCTTATTAAAACTTTATTGTATAAAATGATACTTGGTATGGATGTTACAAAATGAATGAAAATTAAAACTTATTTTGTATAAAATGATAGTGAAAATACAATGTTTGTATAATTAGTATTAGTCTATAACAAATGATTATAGATGAAGTCAGTCAGTGATGATGAGAAACACCAATTCCAGTATTAAAACAGACAACAAGACATTTATTAATTTTGAGAAAACCCCAGAAAATACCAACTAGCTGTTGTTGGGGTATTATATGATTATCAAAGATTAGAAATTAAACATAAAGTTAAAATGGAGAGAAAAGATAGAAATGAAAGTTAGCTAGTGTTTATTATACACGAATCTGATAATTAAAGATGAATTCCTTTGGGAATAATTAGGTCAATGATTGCCACTCTACTACACTCTGGTGAACTTAATAGTGCACTGGTTGAGAATCACTGTGTCAGGCTATTATATGATTATCTTATCAAAGATTAGAACTTTAAAAATAAAGTTAAAATGGAGAGAAAAGATAGAAATGAAAGTTAGTTATTGTTGTAAATTATACACGAATCTGATAATTAAAGATGAATTCGTTTTGGAATAATGAGGTCAATGATTGCCACCCCCTAAACTCTGGTTAAGTTCTTCTAATTTCAAGAGAGAAAGAAAGAGAAATGGGGTTTAACGTCCACTTGACATAAACTAGGTCATTTCGGGACTAACACATGGTTTAATTTTATTTCAATAATTCGCTTGAGCGTAGGGGTCTTTAGCAGTGGGAGGAAACTGGAGGACCCGGAGAAAACCCACGAGGTTGGACAGGCGACCCTACTCCTTGCCACGTACAACCGGGGATTCGAAACCACGCCAGTTGACTCAATGACAGACTTTATGGTACAGCGCGCACATGCTAACCATTCAGCCACCCAACCCCCCTTTCTAATTTCAAACATCTTGATATCATTACTCGATTCTGAACTTATGATAGTCTCTGTACATGTATATTGACAAATCAAGCTATGCAGGAGTCAGCCCACAAAAAATGTCCAAAATATTTTGCAAAAAGACCCTAGTTGGGCACTGATCAGATATTTAGGTTTAAGTGTGAAATGAAAAGTAGCAAATATTATCTCTATAATAATTAAAGATGAATTCCTTTTGGAACTTGATTCTGCACTTTAGAGTGTCTCTGTACATGTATACCAACAAATAAAGCTAGGCAGGAGTCAGTCCCCAAAAACACCCTTTTTGGGGGGCAATAATAAAAAATTTTCAGGTTTAAGAGTAAAATGAAAGTAGCAAATATTATCTTTATTCATTTATAACCTATAATAACCACTAATTGCAGATTATTCTGACTAGAATACACTCATATAGTCTTTTTAAGGCAGATTTTTAAAGAGATCTTCCAAACACAGAAGTACACATAAACATCTAAAACCAAGAGTCATTGAATACTGTTATGTTAATATGAGTCAGGAATGTCAAGGAATACATCTTTATCACGCAAAACAAGAAGTTACTATTCAAAATAATTTAAATATCAGGAGGCAGACCACCAAATATTTTTTCCTATTCATTTTAATGATAATAATATTCATGTCTTTTTGCCAGACTAAAATGTTTCCCCAGAATTTTGACGAGCGGAATTGCTCTCTATGTCTCAACCAACAGTACAACATCTCACAATGTTTTTCTCCAAAGCTTGTATGAGACTGACCATGGAAATTTTAAATGTCAGATTTATTCTAGACACAAAAGGTGAACAAAAATCACAAAGCAGAGGGGATAAATTGAAGAAACAAGAAGAAGGGTTATAAATAACAGGACTATGTTCATAGTTATCAAAACAATTGGTGGTCTACCTCCATCTAAGTTTTATCACAGAATGGAGTTATCTCCCTTGAATAGGAGGACAGGATTTTGTGGAATTCTTGGTCAATACTTACACTTTGTTAATTCTGAAATCATGGGGAAGAACACATTCAAATGATGGTGAAAACATGCAAAGGGTTTCAAATACAAGAAAATGAATTAACTCTGTCACAAGAGCTTTTATTAGGTTGGGTGGGAATACAAAATAAATGCAATTTTTGCTAAATAAAGGCTGTTTCAATTACGGTTTACCAAGTCTTAAATTTTTTCAGGACAGAAATCAAACCAAAATACATTTTAGAAACAGAACTAACCTCTAATCATGGTCTTTTTATCAGGCTGGCCATTTCTTGTTGCTATGAAATTTTCCAATTCTTCCCACTGGTTGTTAAGGAATTGCAGACGGGCATTAATCTCCTCTTTCATGTCCGGATATCGAACTTGAAGTTGTTTAGCGTAATCGTTAAACAGCTTCCTTCGTGGACATCTTTCCAACATCTCCTCATGATATGACTACGAGAAAATAGAATGATAAAAGTAAATAAATTCTAGTCAATTGTCTTGAAAAAGGGTTTATGGCACAGTTTTGTGACTATTGATATTAACTGAATACAGATTTTTAAGAGAGGAAAAGAGAGAAGGTGATATGTGAGAAATAGTTTAATATCTAATCAACATCATTTAGGTCATTACGGGATTAACATATGGTAATTCTTTATTTCTTTATTTCAATAACCTAGCCAAAACCTTACATGTACTACTACGTTTAAAATTGTCCATGTGACAATCATGTGGATAATTTTAAAAACTCATCGTCGACTCGATTGTCTACCTAGCGAAATTTAGTGAGTATTGCCACTGGTTGATGGAATCTAGAGTAGTGAACTTTGATCCCAATTAATTAATTCTAACCCGATTCTCACCTTGGTATTATTATATCTACTGAAACAGAATCAGTTTCAGACAAGTTATTTGCCCCCCTCCCCCCAGTTAGAAATTGGAATCAGACCAGTTATTTCATAATCTCGCTTACGTACATGGACGTAACAGACTTTAGACATATACTTGGTCATAGCTTAATGTTACTTTTGAAATATTTTCTATGTTACAGGCACCTGTGCTTCTTGTTATGAAAAATCACACACCACTCAACTCCACCCTTATGAAAACAGAAGCTCACTAATCAGACGAACTGCCATACTTGATTGAAACTGATGCGTCTGGGCAACCAAGAGTAATGACCAACCATCTGCTTTCTTCAACCATCAAATAATTTCATATCATAAATTGCTTAAATGCCATACCCTTTTTATTTTATTTTCAAAATATGATTAATATCAATTACCCTTTAAAACTATTTTTCGCTTACCTGATTTAGATATTTCTCTGAAAAACTCGAAACATTTTTAGTCATGGCTGTCTCAACTTGAGATAGCCAATCAGTGAGCTCCCGATACTGCTGAAGAAATTCAGCAAACGAAACTTTGGGATGCCCAGAAAAATCTTGTTCATTCATCATCAGATCGTTCTCTGTCAGCTGAAAATAAAAATAAAATAGATTACTCCAATCACAAGATAAATTTTACAAATGAAATGGGGATCAACGTTCTCCTTTTTTGCAGTGTGCTATGAGGGAAATTTTGCCAGGACAGCAACCAAGTGTACAGTAAACGAGAGAGAGAGAGCGAGGGAGAGAGAGAGAGAAATGGGGTTTAACCTCTATTCAACACAAACTAGGTCAATTTGGAACCAACATATGGTTTGGTTCAATTTTATTTCAATAATTCGCTTGTGCATAAGGTGGGTCTTTAGCAGTGGGAGGAAACTGGAGGACCCGGAGAAAACCCTCGAGGTTGGACAGGCAACTCTACTCCTTTTTACATACAACCAGGGAATCGAAACCATGCCAGTTGACTCAATGACAGACCTTATGATGCAGTGCTAACACACTAACCATTCAGCCATCAAACCCACCTAATTACTGAGCAACATTTCGACTAAGCTTCTCATGTTTAAATGTCACGTACCTTGCATGCTTCTATAATTTCTTTATCCATCAAATACTGGTAATTAGATTTGATTGACTTCCAGAGAGCATCTTTCTTGTAGCGTTTCTTGAATTCTGACAGAGTTTGAGGACATGGAGAGGCTGTTCCTGTAGGAGTGCTGCTGCGACTTTTTGTGTCTTCCAATAATTCGAGAAAACTTGGGGATCCTGACCGACTGCTTACTACACTTGATCTATAACAAAGAATACATCTAAATATTGAAATAAATAATAATAATGTAAAAAGAGAGAGAAATGGGGTCTAACGTCCAATCAACACAAACTAGGTCATTTCGGGACTAACATATGGTTCAGCTTTATTTCAATAATTTGCTTGCGCGTAGGGGTCTTTAGTAGTGGGAGAAAACCAGAGGACTCGGAGAAAACCCACGAGGTTGGACTGGCGACCCTATTCCTTGTTATAATGTAAAAATAACAGTTTAATTTCCAAACACAAAAAGAAACATGTTTCACTGATTTATGAACAATATTAAAATGCATTCTAATATTAAAAGATCAGGTGCCTTATTCTAAAATAATCTAAAATATTTTACGATGCAGCTAAAATATGTATTAGTAAATTAACCATTCACTCATGAAAAGTAGGCAAGAGAGGGAGAAATGGGGTTTAGTATCCACTCAACCTAAACTATGTCATTTTGGGACTAACATATGGTTTAATTTTATTTCAATAATTCGTTTTCACGTAGGGGTCTTTCGCAGTGGGAGGCAACCGATGAACCTGGAGATAACCATGAGATTGCAGAGATGACATGAGTGGAATCAAAACCAAAAGGCTTGACTCAATGTCAATGACTGGCCTTAACATTTCATGTGTACACTTCTTTAAGAGACATTTAGTAATTGAACAGTAACACACTAACACTATTTATGGAATAACAATTTCTGGTTTATTAACGTGTAACGTTTCTACGATGATATATCATTTGCTTGATAAAGACGAGAGTATCATCATAGAAACTTTGCATGTTAATAAACCAGTAATTGTTATTCCATAAATAGTGTCATGGTGTCATGCATCTTGACCACCCAAACCCCATGCTCATGATTTCATGAATAAGAAACCTTATGGTATAATTGTTAACATCATTAATACATTGAGATTGGGCAACTAGAATTTTTTTAAATGTTGATCAAGTAATTGTCATCACAAAAGTCTGACTGGGCTAATGAAGACAGCCTCGTCATAAAATGTAATTGAGTTTAACGTCCTGCTATTCTGCTCCAACTGGGTAAATGAAGACGGACATTCTCTGCAGACATTTTATAAGATACAGTCAACAAAAGCAAGTCATTTTAATCCGACTAAACCCAGCAGGGACATCATTTTAGCAGGGATGAAGCCACGAAAATAAGATATTGTCAAAAAAAAAGCAGCTTTGTCTATCTTTTGCTAGAGTATATAAAAACCCATGGAGCATCTCTTCAAAAAAGCAAGTTTATCGAAATATTGGAATGTGTTGGGTTTTGATTTGAAAGGACAGCAATTACTGATTTTAGAATAGGCTATCCTTTATTTCACATTTATTCTTTCTAGAATACAAGAGCTTACCTGTTGCTAAGGTTACCAGAGTTGTCATCATTCATTCTTCGTCTCTTAGGTCCTGTTGGAAAATCTAAATCGAGAATTTCTTGTCCGACTTTAACTGTTATTTCTTGAACTTTGCTCCCCGACTCAATATTTACATTTGGTTGTACGGGTAATTCCTTTAAAGGCTCCATGTTGCTATGGTGACTAGGGGTTTCGTTTTCTTTGACTGATCCGGCCTTGTTTTTTTCTAGATTAAATGCTCTAATCTCGTCACCATTTCCACCATCTTTGTTTTGGGACATCAACAATTTCTCCGACCTATCATCTCTGTTCTCCTTTGGTTCTTGGTACGACAAGCGTTTCCGCGGACTACTAGGGCAACCTCCCTGTAAACGGGTGTATGCTAAATCCTTTGACGGGGCATTTTCCTTTGAGGTGATATCGTGGGTGACAAACTCAGTTGTTCTGAGTTCATCCAAGTGTTGTTTTTGTTTTGTTCGACTTTGAGCCAGATTAACGTTAAATCCCTGTTCAACCGATGACCACTGGTTAAATCCACTGTTGACTTGTTTATCCAAGCTTTTCAGATCCTTGCGATAAACTTGCCACAAGTAACGAAGGTTCTCTACATCAGCTTCGAGTGTGAGGTTGGCACGGTTACCGAGATATTTCAGACTAGCATCCAATAAAAAATCTATCGTTGAATTTTCCTGATCAGCTTCTACCACCAACCTCTGAAAAATATAAATACGAGACTTATTGAATTTCTACCAAGAAAAAAAACAAACAAAAAACAAACATGAATTGTTTGCATTATGGATTGCACAATCTTCCTGCACAAAAAAATTAATAATTAATGTTTTAATTAAGATCACTAGCAATGCCATGTCTGTCAAGTTTTGCCCCACTTTAATCAAAAGATGCAGCAGAAAGACAACTTAATTAACTATAGAGCTCCAATTTCTTGTGTAATCATCAACCTGCATTGTGTCAATCTGTGTCATTCGGTGCATTTCAAACTTTGCAACAAAAAAAAAAAAAACGACTTAATTACTATCCTGGCAATCTATTTTTGACATCATATTTCATGGATTGCTGTGAAATATTATTACATCCTCATTTTGACAGTAGTCAATTTATACCTGTACATAACTCTGAATTATCGGAACATTCTGTAACACTTATAAATGAAGTTCTCTATCAACACTGATAACGAAGATGGGTATACTGATACTCTTTATAAAACAGAACCTAAAACATTGATATTCTGGGTTTAAAATGAAATCATCAAGAAACCTCCTCATGCTCAAACATCTCCTAAAGGCATAATGATACTTTTAATAGTAGTCAGTTTATACCTGCACACAATTTTAAATTATCAGAACGTTTTGTAACACTTAAATGAAGGCATAACACTTAAGGCATAATGATTCTTAAACCAATAGTGTCTTCAACAATTAAGTAGTTAATTGAATTCTGATCCAGTTTCCGAGCCAAATTTAATAAACCTTTTAATAGAATCCAGAACAATTGTGATCAGCTATAACATTATAATAGTTTTCTTACTAGTTTCCCCTATGGCTATACAATACAATATTCTTCCATTCATAAGATGGTGTTGATATTGTGTGCTAAGTTGTTTGTATGTCATGGATGGACAATGGTCATCTCTTTAACCTATATCAAACAATGGACTTGACTTTACTACTGTGGGTATAAAGAATGGACTCTACCACAGATAAAGAGAATAATCCCTTAAAATAATATCATTTATCTGTCAGTAGATACAGGCATCGGACCACTTAAAAATTTTTAACACCTAGATAGATAATCACAGTAAAGCCCACTTCATTTTGTTATTATAAAATATTTACAATATTAGTTTGACCACTTATTTTATTTCGATAAAATATGTTCTGTGTAGATCTACGTGAACTGGGGCCCGTTTCACGAAATTTTAACTAAGATAAAATCCAAATTTTAGTAATTTGATTGGATAATATTAGACTGATTGTAGTGCTTAGCCAATCAAAACTGAAGTATCTACCAAAATTTGGATTTTATCTTTAGTTAAAATTTCGTGAAACAGGACCCAGATCTGTGGTCTATCTCAATCAATCTGATTAAAACACATATCCTATTTCATTTCGGTTTTTATAGTTCAAATTTCGTTTTATTTATCTGTACTACACTAGGATCTGGAAGAGTTGTTATGTAACCTACGTTCTGGATAGCGCGAGTGATTAGCCAATGAAACTATTTGTAAATCAGATTGTATCACAATAATCCAGTTTTAAATTATTTCACTGAGAAGTACAAAATGTACATGTATATCTGTTGTTAAAGGAAGAATGCAAGACAGATTGATCAATATCAAGGAAAAGATTAAGACAAAAAATTGCACAGCCGTTTACATAACAGCCTGGAGGGAATTACAACTTTTTGCAATCTGACAATATTTTTTTATCAATTTCTTGATCAATTCATAAGGAAATGCCACATTTTAAATCTGTTTCTATTAATACTAAAACTTTAAATATTTTACATATTAATACAGAAGAGTTAACACTTTCAATTCCAAACTAAGTCAACTTTTGGGCATGGTCTGAACAGAGGAAATCCATGTAGGTCAATGGTTTCCATACAGCGATTTTATGACTAAATTCTTCTGAACAGGAGTTGATAATTTTAAAGGTGTGGTCATAAATATGGTCCAATTCACAAGAAAAAAAAAGCCAACAGAAAGACTGATGTCCCCTGCCTCAATGCCAAAATATAGAAAACACGCCAAAATTGATCTGATATACCCCTGCATCAATCCCAAAATAAACAGATGACACAAATTAATTAATAGCACATGTAGCATTTCATATGGCACCAACCAATCAAACGGTTTATCTATACTTAGCCTAAGCAGAAAATGTTGACATGGTACCCAGTCAAGGCATTCACCTAATTATCAACTAACGATTGGATTTGAACATTCTACCTTATTTAATAGTGTTAATATTTATAAACAAATTCACATATTCAACCTCAATCTGAACAGTTACCTAAATGCAGCTGAATGTATCAATTCATTGCATTCAGCACATTTCAAATTTCCAGTGAAACACAAAACACACTTGGTTATAAAAATCTATATATCCTGAAACAGTTCAAATCTCCGAACTCCCTAATCGGAATTACAACCGAATAACAACCGAATGACTAGTAGAATTTCTCAATACCGTACTAAAACATTTTAAACTAGGCCTATCCATAGACATAAAATTACTTCGCTATATAATCTTAAGTTTACCAAATTCAAAATTTCCACTGCACAGATATCCAAGAAACAGTAGAAATGATCACTGGATTTACATATATCCTAATTTCACAAACAACTGTCCATCCAGTAAAATTAAAGTATTTAGATGGTTTACCAAATTTAAATTTCCACTGCACAATTATCCAAGTTATAGTAGATCTCTCTCTCTGGTTCTTGAAATAGTCTCAACAATGAACGTTTGATTTACATATATATCCCGATTTCACCAACCACACTACTGAACGATATTTAAATTAGTTCCCTCTATTACCAGGAACCAGATCTGTTTAAGATCTATATAAACATCTTCCATGTAGATATCAGCTGTCCTTTATAAAATATAAACACATGCTTAACAAGGTTAGGTTTGTTCTAATCAGATAGAGTATGGGAGTAATGCTGTGAGTTAATGAGCAGATAACTCTATTGACCATCTCAGTTGACCTCTGACCTATACAAACAGATGGAGTTATATCACACTATGTAATAACAAACCCTATATGTTTAACATCTACATGTAATGATGTTTGACTATAATTATGTGGAGATGACACTGCTACCATTCTGTCTGTCATATCGCTTTAATGTTGAGGCAGAAATTCTTCCACAACGTCAACACACTTTATTACGGAAGAGTTATTTCACACCTGATTGTGACCTTAATTTACTTAAGATTTTTAAAGCTTGGAGGAACTTTGTAACCACACCAAAAGATCTCACAAAGGTGTGTACCAAAACAGAGCCTTAAGCCCCCTCCCCCTCCACCATCCAAATAAATTGTATGTCTTTTAATTATTTAATAGCAATTTAAGCTCTTGTAAAAGCAAAGAAAGAAAAATGAAATTTAGTGAGGCTCCTGCAGGAGGACCACACCACACATAAACGAAACCGATAAGACAAACCTGTGTCATGCAGACAAGATACAAACTAAACAGATTAAGCCTAAATCCATACTACAATAAAAGAAGTCAAAACTATCTATGCATGATTGACAACAGAAGATAAGAATTGTAGATAAGTGGATAAAATCGACATGGTTAATACATATTTAATCTTAAATCTCTGTACATAGAGAAGACCATAGACATGCCTGTTACATGTATATAACTTTTGATACACTAAATGATATCATTACAAAAATAACTGGCTGATTCTTCATCTACTTTGAACTTACTTGCTATTGCCTCAACATGAAAAATTTAAAATACTGCAAAACTATCAAAATTTTCATCTATTTTTAAATCTTGTAACAAATCTTTTGTTGCACATGGATGACTGTTAAGTAAGATTATGTCCTATAAATGACACATCTGATAAACTTTCAGAAGCCCAGATCCCTCCTACACAAGTCATAAAGGACAGAGTTATTAATAGCTTACTTGCTATTGCCTCAATATTCAAATATTACAAAAAATATCAAAATTTCTAACTATTTTGGACCAAATCTTTCATGTACATCGATGTTATGTAAGATTATGTATAAATGATCTAGTAGCATGCTTTGAGAAGCCGAGAACCCTTACTTGTCTCAGTTATCTGTTATTACCATAGCTGGATGTTAAGCCCAACATCAAGTCAAGTCAATCCTCCTACCCGAGTGGTAAAGAGTTATAGGTGAGTTATTACATGTTATTACATCATTGAACATCTACAAACCTTTTGTAACTACAGATGTTACACATGCATGCTGTATTATATAATATATCATTGGACCTATCCAGATATCTTTTACATTAAATAAATAAATCATTTAACTCTTTCTATAATGACAATGATACAATAACATCATGTTCAACAATTTAATAATAATAATTAATCTATTTATGTTGTGCAATGTCCATGCATGAGTAAGAGAGACAGAGATAGAGAGAGAAATGGGGTTTAATGTCCACTCGACAAAAACTAGGTCATTTCGGGACTAACATGGTTAAATTTTATTTCAATAATTCACTTGCACGTAGGGGTCTTTAGCAGTGGGAGGAAACCGGAGGACCCAGAGAAAACCTACGAGGTTGGACAGGCGATGCTACTTCTTGTCACGTACAACCAGGGATTTATAACCACACCAGTTGGCTCAATGACAGGCCTTATGATACAGCGTGCACGTGCTAACCATTCGGCCATCCAACCCACCCCCTGGATCTAAAGACAACAATATCTGGATAATTCTTTATTTCCATGGGTCTTTAGCAATGGGAGGAAAGTGGAGAACCAGGACTGTACTCCTTGTCACATTCAAGAGGGGAATCACAACCACGCCACTTGACTAAATGACAGGCCCTATGAACTAAAGCGGACAATAAACCATTCGGTCACCCATGACATAATTCATTATCCTTAAAATTAACATTTCATTTACATATCCAGATTTGAACAACCACCTGCTGAGAAAAATTAAAACAAGGAGATTATCTTCTCTTGATA